GCAAAATGAGAAAGGATTCTTATAATACAAATGGGAGCTATGGTATATTGCACCTGAGCAGGGAAGACAGTTCCCATGTGATCACTGTGCCTGTGCATCCTGCTGTCTAGGAGCCGGGCACTGTAAATGGGCAACTTCAAGGTCCAAGATCTATTGCCTGTTGGTTCTTTTTTTTATTAAATTAGATTCAGGTTGTACATAACCCTTCAAATGTAGACCACTGTCAAAATGAGGACTGTAGTCTAGCAGGTCTTCAAATGGGAAACTGGCCTCCCTAAAAAGAGGACACATGGCCAGCCCTACACAGGACCTGCTGCATCTTGTTTTCTCTCCCACTGTTCAGAACTGGTGATGATGAAATTGGAAGCAGACCCCTGGTAACTTTCATTTTGGAAAGCAGCTGGTTGGCCCGTGATGGCCCAGAAGATCACAAATTGGTCCCTGCGCCGCCTGCACATCTTGATTTCCTTAGATATAGAGGCTTAGCTGAACATTGGGTTGAGCTGGACAGCACATGTCATTCCCAGAGCACCAACACATCTCATAAAGTCCCCCCCCCCATTGTTTCTTGAAATCACTTGTTCCAGCAGTACTTTCCATGCTCCAGATTAAATTGAATGTAACCTTAAGCATGGTTTTGCATGACAACAATCCAGGCCAATGAGTCCCAGTTTTGCATGGAAATGAAATAACTTGTTAACAATCCACATTTTCCTATTTTTATCCAAATGGTCTTGGATCAACACAATAGGAATCAATCCACATTTCCCTATTTTTATCCAAATGGTCTTGGATCAAAATGAGGTTTGCAGAAATGACATTTTACCGTATTCAAATGAGACAGTGGACTGAGGCTTGTTACACGTTCTGTCAGAAGCTTTACAGATCCTCCATTGAAAGAAGAACAAAAGTGGGATGATGATGACTGCCTGAAAATACACTAAACAAATGCCCCCTCACTATGTTAAAATTGCACACACACTGTGTAAACACATTATTTGGGGGAAGTAAAAGTGTCATCTGGGGACTCATCTCAAGGAAAATTCTGCTCACTTGAATTAGCTTGTAAAGCATTTCAATTTATTTTCTCTTCTATCACCTCAATTACAGATGCTGTTAGATTTACAGCACTTTAAGAAAAGAAACATATAAAAGCCCTGGATTTGGCGAGATGGTGCTTAAAACCATTGCTCTACAAATTCACCAGTACTTGTGGGTGCTTTCCCCCCCTTCTTAACATACTTTTAAAAGTTGAATTTCAAAACTGTTATGCAGGAAAACAAAGCCAGAGGTTCAGTTTGAATTGCAGAATGCCACTGCAGCCTGAATGCTAGAAACAGTTTATGCAGTTCTTGTATGGAGAAGGGAAATAATGAATTTGTTTGGCTTCTGACAACTGAACCTCGAGCATTTCCGCAAAGCCTGTGCTCGGACGTTCACCAGAGAATAAAATCCTTCTATCAGTGCACTATCAGTGGACACAAAAGCAGCATGGTTTCATCCTCTGCGTGGTACAGACCACATGATATCCATCCATATTAGTGACTAAATTTGAACTCACGTCTATCCATTTAGGGTGTGGTGGAAAAAACAACAGAATATTGATTCTACATTTAAGTGGTGGTAGATAAATGATAGGGATGGGCAGAGGTGCTTTTGGGTATTCTCTGTCTCAGGGGCAAAAAACACTTGGCTTACTTTGAATCCTGTGCATCTAGATGTGAGTGGACACCATCTATTGTTTCACTTCAGCTGACAAAATCTATTGGGCCACCTGCATCAGGGACACTTTTGTCTACCCTGGATGACAGATATGGTGGGGGAACCAAGCTGCTAGACTTTCTAGTACAGCAAAACATTTCCCCAGCGTCTGATTCTTTTGAGGAAGCGTAGGCTTCAAGGATGCCAGCTAGACTCCTCTCTTCAAATCTATTAGGATTCTCTTTTTGGGAGGTCAGATACTTAACCAACATTCATGTAGTCTTGGAGCCTGCCTACGGACATTTTGCTCCCCAAATGTGGCCTTTCAAAGAGACTGAGGCATTGACATTATATAATTGAGGAGCAGAAGGCATTCCCTCCTTGCTGAGGAAATGTGTAGAGACGTAACAGCTGTTGCACTAGAACACAAGGATGTCTATTGGGGGACAAGCCATCATGGGTTCGATATCTGGATCTGAACATCTGGTTGGCTCAATATTGGACCCAAGGAGGTGCTACATGAGCAGAGGGCATTCTGTGCAACAGGATCAAAAGACCAAGCTACACAACGGAGGTCTTCTCAGCAATGGCTGGGCAGCATCACATCGATATTGTTTTCTACAGCAGCCACATCTCAATGTTGCAAGGCTATACATGAATCGGACCAAAGAAACAGAGAGTGGGGGAGTGCCCCCTAGGAAGGAGAGGAGGGCACACAGTCAAAACCGAAATGCATCCTCAGACAAAGTAAGGAGCATAGGGGAATGAAGGGCAGCGCCTACCTCCCATTTTCTTTGGGCTCCAACTTTCAGCAGTGGTTGAAACACAGACATAATCTATGCTGAGCTGGGAGGACTACATTTCCTTACCTAACCTTCCACTCATCCTTAGAAAAGCCTGATTGATCTCTCAAGGACGGTGGTGCGAAGGGGACAACCACGGGGCCATTGTATATACATAATTAGGAAACAGACTGGAGAGCCATTTTCCTACTGAACGTCCAACAAATGATTTGGGTCTTAAGATTCTGTTCAAAGGAACACAGCCTTTTGACCATGCTGTTTTAATTTTCTTTTTCCTTCCAAAGCAGTGGGGAACTAAATGTTCCCTGCAAAATACAGAACAGAAATCCAAGCCCCTTATGAAAAATAAATGATGAAGTGGTTGAGACGAAAGTGACTTGGGGGAATAAGCACTGCAGCCTCCTTGGCCACAAACGAAGCTCATCTCAACGAACGTCACTCCTTCTACCTCATCACTCTCTTCCGTGTCTTATTATCTGCATAGGCAGCCATGAGAAGCAGATTAGCACTTCAGAACCAAATGAAACAGGTAGCACTTAACAAAGCACTGGATATTTAATGGCAGAATTTCCAACCAAAGGAACTGGTCTAGACCTGAACCAATGTTAACATAGCCAACTGAACCAGCTAAGATTGCTTCTTCTTGAGAAAAACAACAACACATTGTGCTGTTTAAATGTTTCCACTGTGAATCTCTTAAGAGCCGAAAAGTCAACGTCAACGTTTCTTACCCTGCATCACCTCCACCAGCCGAGTGGACTCCAGTCTAGGTCACTACAGTTCAGATTCCAGAATAGAACAACGCGGGAGAAAAATATTTGAGAAAGAACAACTGTAAACTATTCCTTTCCCCCCTATTATCTCTTCTGGAAATAGATGCCAATCATTCACGTTTCCCCCCAAGCCTACTGAACCACAAACCCTTCCTGAGCACAACCTTTTCCCCATCCTTGAACAACATCAACATGTTCCAGGTTTTACATGCAAAATCTAGTGGCAGCTGGTCTGTGTGGGAGATCTGTACCAGAAGAAGCTGCACACTACTCTTGTGTGTACATGGTTCCCTGAGAGTTGGGGTGGCTCCAATTAATCTACTGTGCTGAGAAGCCAGGGAAAGCACAATCGCCGAGAGGCGGGTTGGGATTTTGTCCTGACTGTCCCAGTCCTAGGCCTTCAGATCCTCTGGCTCTTGTGTGGGAGTATCAGAAATCTTTCCTCATTCTGCCATCTCTGCTGTTGGATGCTCAATCCCAGCCTGGCACAAAACTCTTCCTAATTCAACCTTACCTACATCAGTGCACCCTATGATTCTCAGCAAAGGATTGCTCCACTTGGAAATCATGAATAAAGGAGTGAATCTATCATTTTAATGCATTATATATCTATTCACCCTGTTGTCTTTTTATTTAGCTACTTGCTCTTTTTTAGGAAGATTTTCAGCAGATAGGCATAGCAAAATTCAATAACCAGGAACGGAAGAGAAGAGAGATTTTATTCAGATTATCACTAGAGTTACCACAGCTTCTTTGTTGCTGGCTTTTGCACCAGTGAACCGAGTCCTCTTACATTTGAGCTAGACAAATACGTTTGGGTTGTCAAAAATGTGTTTGCATTCTGATGACTCTATAGAGCATGTGACGAAAAGCAGAGATACCGAGGCCTCACCACTACTACTGAATGCATACCTGGCCCAGGGTCCCTCCTGCTACGTCCCTGCATCTTGACAGAGTTAGTATGTGTTTGTGTACAGAGCACTGGAAGGAAGAGGAGGTGAGGCGATAATGCAGGGTAGGCGGTGGGGATAGCAAGCATTACAACTTCGAAAAACGGGTGGCAACATTCTGGAGACTGCTGTCTAGTCATATGGGATGTTCAAGGCACTAGATCTCACTGAGCGTGCAATGGAGGGTGAAACTTACACACAGATGTCTTCTGGTTTGTATCTTTACTTGGCATCAGCTTCACTCCACGGGATTTCATTTCCATCTGCTTTTTGACTGGAAAGGGAAGGCAAGAGAACAGCGTTGAGCACAAGAGGGGCTGGAAGGAATATAGACCTCTTTGGCAGATGCTTTGCCACTCTGAGCTGTTCTACGTCAGCTGTTCAGTAGGAATAGATTCATCCAAGGGACCCACATTATACACCCCGATACATGAGACAAGAGTCACCCAGCTTGTCCTTCTTTGCTACTCCCTACCAGTTGCCCACCTCCTCTAAGAGTTACGTAATTCAAAGATGGAGTGGAATGCCACAGCTAAAGCAGTTGGATACTATGTAAACATCATTCCTGCAATCTAAAGAATCTTCAGATTTGTAGTCTGGACAGGAATCTAGAATTCTCTGCTAGAGAGCTCGTGCACTTTAGGTGAGGGCTAAGCATTAGAGATGTGGTTCCCAACCTTGGATCCCCAGAGATTCTTGAACTGCAACTCCCAGAAATCCTGGCCAGCACAGCTAGTGGTAATGGCTTCTGGCAGTTGCAGTCCTGGAATGTCTGGAGCTCCAAGGTTGGGAACCACTGCACTAGAGGACTTGTACAGAGAATTCTAAGCACCTTCCCAAACCACAAGACACAAGATCCCTTAGGATGAAGCCATGACAGTTAAAGTGGTTCCCAACTTCGGTCACTGTGTAATGCAGATATATCGCAAAAGCTTGCATGCTTCAAAGGTTTTCCTGGTCTATATAAGTTCAGACAACATAATAAAACACTTCCCAAAAGGAGATTTTCCAGCAAGGATTATTCCAAAATATATGGGGAAATGACATTTTGTTAGTCCCAAATGAAGGAGGCACCCTGACTCAGTGGGATTCATATAAGTGTTGATGTCTTCAGCCAGTGATTTGTTGCATTGACTCTTCATTGGGGCTTCCAAGAGGATGCTGGCCATGGTGTAGTCAGGACTGAAAGACACATTGTGACTGAATTCAGTTGGGAACCCTTCAAGTGCTAGAATTTCGCAAAATGGAGTGAGGCAAATTGCTCTCAGGTGGTGCCTCCAGGGAGTTATTGGACGGGATGGCTCAGAGCAGTTCACTCATCATCTTCCTCCCCCATGTGAGGATGAAAGAGTGAAGAGGATGAAGGATTTAAAACAGTAATATTGTGTTTTTAATCTCCATGAAGTGATCCAGACAGGAGTCAGATAATGCCAGGGGCCTGGCCAGATCCTCTTCTGTCATTTAACTTACAGAAGGTTATGGGGAAGGAATTGCCCTCTATTTCCGATTATTATGCATTTTTTTTGTTTTCTCCAATTTGGTACACCCTTTTTTGCCTTTAACTGCACCTTTTGTCATTTGCCCATTCCTAGCACGAACTATTTAGAGCATAAATGGACAGCTTTAAACAGTTTTTTAAAAAATATGACTCTGAATCCGCCCCTTCCCTTGAAGTCCCTTGATACATGAGGGATGGTTTCTTGGAAACTTATCTTTTCAAGCACTCACCATGCAAATGCTTAGCCTATTATGTCAGGGAAAATGGTTTTTTTAAACCAAGCTCACAGGATTAGAAGCCCCTGACATTTGCCTTAATCAGAAAGGAAATTATAACATTAATCTTTGCTTGACAGTTTTTGCAAAGTGGCGTGATTTAGGCAGGTGCATTTTTAATAGGAAAGGAACAATCATGATTTCCCTTTTCTTTTTCCTTAAAACACACACTCACATCCTTGACAACAACCACGAGACTGGGCAATGGCTCAGGTGAAAAATTATGACTACCTTTGGGAATTAAGTCTGAAAGGTGATTCATACAGTTTGTAACTTCAGCTTCTTTAATGCATAATGCAGAGGTAGAAGGGAGAGAATCCAGCTTGAACTAGCACATCTGAAAGTTGGTCCTGAAGGCAACATGCAACCTGCATGTTATGGTTGTGATTCATCATATCAAATGAAAGCGTGGCCTTCGGTGCTCAGACGTTGCTTTATGCAAGAGGTTACACACACTCCATAATTGCTCATGTCAATAGAGAAAGCAGTGATGTAGTGCTAAATTCTGAAATGAAGGTGTTCAATGTGACAGATTTTTCTCTAGCACCAGGGAGGACAAATTGCTATCGAACTCAATGGTCACAACAAGTTTTCTCAGTTTTTATCTCTCTACCGGGAACAAGCCTTTTGCATTTTTGAGAGGTGTTAATTGTGCTGACTATTAGTGCTAGCGATTGTTTAGAGACAGGCTAGCCTTATGGGTCAACACTTTCAAAAAGTGATATAAACCAGAAATACTGCTCAATCCAGCCATTCGCTCCTTTCCATTTTAATTAACAAATTTTGCACAGAACACAGTTCACTCATAGATTATTGCACTTTCCAAGATTTTCCACTTGATTATATATTTTCTCTCTGTAGCATTTGATTTGATGTATGCCCAACACAAGATTACAATAGAATTCTTTTATCTGCAGGGGATTGGTTCAAGCTCCCCCCCCCCATGGATGCTGAAAACCAGGTAGCATGGTCTCTGGCTCGCTCTACTCCAGTGATGTTCCAGTAAGGACATCATATAAATATGTATTTTGGGATATTTCTTATAATATTTTCAATATTTTCAGATCAAGGATAAGTGAAATCACAGATATTTATCCTGCGGATATGAGGGGCCTGCCAGATAGGAAAAAAGCAAACTTAATAATATTGCATAATTGGCTGAACCATGATTCCATCTTCTGCTCCTAAAAACATTGAGTATATTCACATATAAGCAATAAAACAGGAAGTGTAAATGTATGTAGTCACAACTAAATGAATTCTTACAAGAATTAGGAACTGGGAAAACTATTATTCAGTCCATATTTTAAAGTGAATCTACTTCCCAGCTTAATTTACAGGGCAGACCACAAGTATTCAGTACCATTGCTAAATTTTGCAATGTAATTCAATATTATTGGTTTGGAAACATCATGCATAAAAAGAAATACAAAAGTATGTATTTATGATGGAAGGAGGCATACAACACTGTGCACATTCAGATAAGGTACACTTATGTATGTATATGTTAAGGCAACCACACAAAGCCTCCAAAGCTGTTTTTCATGCAACAAATGTTTCTACAGGGGAAAAGGGAGAACCTTGACTAGAAATACTGTTTTGTTGGAAAAGGGATAAAAATTGGTCACTAGGAAATGGAGAGCATTACTCTGTCCTTCATGCAATAGGATGCTTTAACCATCCCTAAAGACTACATACACTCAGATAAAAGTGACATTTTTGCACATGGCTAACACGAAGGATGGGAAGAATGGAATGGAACACAAGAGACCAGAAGCTGCAACAGACTATTTTATTATGCACCATCGTATCACATCCAACTTATAGCAACTCTAATAGGGCTTTCTAGGTACATGACACATTTAAGGAGTGATTTTATCAGTGCCAACCCCCAGAGTTTCCATGGTCTAGCAAAGATTTCCATGGTCTAGCAAAGAGTCAGACTCCGGCCTCCTGAATCCCAGTCCATCACTCTACAGTTCTGGCTCTCAGAACATACATTCTGTAATCCAGAAATACAGTTTTGAATTATTTTTTCTACTTCAATTAGAATTTAGAAGGCTGGGGATACTGGGCGGAGCAAAAGACAGACAGGTAAAATACCTTGATACTGTGCGCTGAAGCCCTTTTGTCTGTGGTTGCCATCTGACATAAAATGAAGGCGAAGCCAGTTTTTGCTGCTGATCACAGGGGCAGGAAGGCTGGTGCCTGTAAACCTGAAACAGGAACCAAAAGAAAAAAACAGCACATTAAAATTTCATAGATTTGTTTTCTCAAAGCATCCCCCCTGAAGATGCAAGCATATTTAACTGTAATAATACCTTTCAAAACACTACCAGATCCAAAGCAAATTGATTTGTCTGGGTGTTTGCTCATTCTCCCTACAAGAGGCACAATTGCACAAATGACCTGTCTGCAAAACAGACCAAGCCAGCCACAAGCACACCTTCCTCCATCTTGTGGGAAGCAGAAACACTTCCTGTGATTTCTCACCAAGTCCACGAGAAAGGCTCAGGACAGGGTCTTCTAGGGAAAAAAACCCTAGTTTTTCACACTTTTTATTTAACACTTGATGTCTGTGGAAAGCCCATTCCATGTCTGCCACTCAACGTAGAGGTTTCTGCCCCATGCCTCAGAGTTCTGGAGACTGCCCCTTCTTGCCTGTTACTTCTAATATGTAAATATTTTTTTTGTTTTCATTCACTAAGAACCATTCAAACCTATCCCCTCCCCATTTTTCCAAGAGAAGGAGTGAGACTTAGATTTCTCCATGCCTTTTTCTACACTAAAAAGGGATCAGCAATATTCCAAATTTATCAGTTCCTGCTGGTATGGCAGGTGACCAAAAAGCCCACTGCCCCTTCCAGCGGGCACCCACTCAGAGCCAGGGAAGCCGGGGCACTCCTCCGACTGGGCACCCACGGGAGGGGGCGGAGTGCCAAACCACAGAACACCTGACAGAATCCATGATGACTACTTGGCCAAGGGTTTCCCCCATTATGAGGTCAGGTGAGTTCAAGACTGTGAAGTCATTAGACTTTGGTCATCTACCGAACTGGCACAATCTGCCAAACTGCTGGTTCATGTCCATCTTTATTCCAAATCTTACAACAGATTTTAAACCCCTAGTGCTCACCAGCATTAAACAAGAAAGCATGGGGGTCAGCAGCTCCTTGAAACAACATATGGGTTTTCCCTGAAATGGCTGAGGTAGTCCCACCCTTGTAACAACAATGGTTTGAAGCAAGTCAGTCACTACAGTATTTGTAAGAAAAATAAGTCAGACAAAAATTGAAATGGATGGTATTTGCATGCCCCTAAAATACAGGAATATAGTATACAAAGTCCAAGCCATGTATCCTCTAGCTCAGTATTACCGATTCTGACTCTCAGACATGACTTTTTAAAGTCCTTCCTGAGGGTATTTCTTTGGTACTCTCCCATCCAGGCACTAATTAGGCCTGACCCTCCATAGCTTCCAGAATGAAATGAGGTCTGGTGAGTTCAAGACTGTGAAGTCATTAGACGATGCATGCAATAAACCCTCGGTCAGTATAATTTATAACACTCCTGGACCATTCACCCTGTGAAATCCTACATCACAGCTGTGGTTGTTTAGTCGTTAAGTCCTGTCCAACTCTTCGTGACCCCACGGACCAGAGCACGCCAGGCCCTCCTGTCTTCCACTGCCTCCTGGAGCTGGGTCAAAGTCATGTTGGTAGCTTCGATGACACTGCCCAGCCATCTCGTCCTCTGTCGTCCCCTTCTCCTCTTGCCTTCACACTTTCCCAACATCAGGGTCCTTTCCAGGGAGTCTTCTTTTCTCATGAAATGGCCAAAGTACTGGACTCAGCTTCAGGATCTGTCCTTCCAGTGAGGACTCAGGGTTGATTTCCTTCAAAACGGATAGGTTTGTTCTCCTTGCAGTCCAGGGGACTCTCAAGAGTCTCCTCCAGCACCACAATTCAAAAGCATCCGTTCTTCATCCTCATTACGAGGTTCTTTAATTCCTCCTCACTTTCTGCCATCAGAATGGTATCATCTGCATATCTGAGGTTGTTGATATTTCTTCCGGCAATCTTAATTCTGATTTGGGATTCACCCAGTCCAGCCTTTTGCATGATGTATTCTGCATATAAGTTATGTTATCTTCCTGTTAACATTGCATACAAAACCCTTATATAGGGGTTGTTAGCCATCACAGCTAACAACCCCTATATATTATAAGGGTTTTGTATGCAGTGCTAACAAGAAGATTTATTCTATACCGACAACTTTCTCCTTCTGGGTATCTTTTAAATACTTTGTCCAAGAAGCACACAATGTGTTCAGAAGAATTTCTTCTTCTTTTTACTGAATTTGTGAACAGGATCAAACGTAATAACACTTCTCTAAAATATATATATGTAGCAGATACTGGAGTCTTATAATTGAAATATAATATTTATTTATTCTAGTCGCGGTGGACTACTCTAGGCGGCCAACAGCAGAGATAAAATACAGTACGATGACATAAAACAGCATAATTACAACAATTAAAAGTAGGGAAACAATAAAGGAGAGAAGAAAATCAAAAGTTATCTGGTGAGAAGGCCTGCCGAAACATCCAAGTCTTTAATAGATTCTTAAAGGTGCCCAGCGAGGGAGCTCCGCGAATACCAAGAGGTAAGTTATTCCAAAGGCGAGTTCTAATAACAGTTCCAATAAATGAATAAATGAAGTCGTAAGGACTTATTACGTCTATAGAACATTTCTTCAAAAATGAGTAATTTTAAAAACATAACTATCATAAAGTCTAGAGCATAAGCAGATTAATAGTCACATTGAGTTTAAGATCATGTTTACCCAAGCAGACTATCTCCCTGTGGCTTTTCTCTCCTGCTCTAGCTCACATTATAATGTCCTATTTATAAGGCCAGAATGTTACTATTTACCTTTGTATGTTCATACTAGTTTGCTATCCAAGATGATTTCCAGACTAGGAGAATCAGTGCAAAGTCTCACAGACTCTGCTACCCAGGCAAACTTTAATAAGAGGAAATAAAACCGCACTTCTTATCTTCATTTTGTCCTAAGCTAGCAGACTCAATCCATTTTCTCTTAGATTTGCTTTGCCACCAAACATCACTCTTGAGAAGTGGTTACTGTTGTGGACCAAATACTGTAGACTTTTTCAGAGGTTCTGCTATTTGTGCAGATTTACATGGAAATAGATGGGAGGTTTGTAATTGCTCTGCAATGCACTCTAATGGACATTGTATATACTGCTAAACTATTACTTTTCTCTCTTTTTATTATTTTATTTTCAAGCTTAGATCTGTCTCTCCTGAAGTATTCTCTATTAGCAGTTCATTACCCTTCAAACCTTTGTGTTATATTCCTTTGTGTTATATTCGTATTTTCACATTCCTAGGACTACAATTTTTATACTCCCTTTATGCATTTCTATTTTGTTAAATGTTTCAACTTTTGTCCCCCATTTCCTCAGGAACAGGACTATCCTTGCTTGTTCTTCCTTTTCCTCCTTGTATAACAATGTGACAGGAAACCTACTGAGAGCTTGTCTCCTTGATTTTTTTACTGTTGCAGTCCAGGACAACAGACAGATATATCACAAGAGGGCTACGTTATCTGCCTGACCCACTAGATCATCACAGCTCCTTTGGGTGGCCACCCTGAGGGAGGCCTGCCAGTCATCTGCTAGAAGTAGGGCCTTCTTTGTGGTAGCCAGAATCTTATGGAGCCAGCTTCTGGGCCCCTCTCTGTGGACATTCAGGAGGCAACTGAAGATGTAGCTTTTCAGGGAGCCTTTCCACACGGATCCCAGCTGACCACCTTTTGTCCGCCACTTTTTTGTTCTGCCACTCTAGCACCATCTGATTTGATGTGTTAGTTGTAATATTGGTTTTAAATATTTTAAGTGTTAACTTGGTTTATTTTATTTATTATTGTAAACTTCCCAGAGTAGAGTTTCAGCACTAATGGGGAGCAGTATACGAATTTAAATAATAAATAAATAAATATGTTTAATAGCATCATTTTTTTTTTGTAATGCTTGATCATGTTCAGCTGTTACTATACAAAACTGTCTTCTTTCAAGACGTTATACAATGGTTTTACCAAAGTTGCATACGTTGGAACAGTTCCTCTTGCAAAATTCAAAGTATCCGCAGTTTGTTGAAATTATATCTAGTTGGTCTGTTTGGAGAATTTTTCAAATTGTTCAATGCATGGTGCAGAAGGCAGCCTTCTGTTTCAGGAGATTGGTGGTATCTTGAGCAAACCTTCATGCTTTTATCTAGGTTCACCAAGACCTGAGACTGCCATGTTCTCATTACACCTAGAGATGGGGGTATTCATATTCGTATTTGTATACGAATACCCCCGCACAGGTGGGCATAATGAGAGTCCAGCCCCATGGGGCCAGATGGTCCACTAACTGATCCACTGCAGGCATGGGCACCGCAGAGCCTTCCAATGGCTCCGGAGACTGTGTTTGGCAAGCTACTCTTTAACCTAGCAGAGAGGCTTGTCATCCCACCTTCTGCCGGGAGTGGCAAGCTGACCATGATCTCTGGATCCATTGGGAGGCTCTGTGGCACCAGCACTGGATTGGTGAGTGGACTGTCTGGCCCCATGGGGCTGGATCCTCGTTATGTCCACCCCATCTCTACCTGATCTTCGCCTTCAAGATGCATCCTGAGGTGGAGAAAACTGGAAGGTGAAATTTTCTTGTCTTTATATCTGTGCATTTGCTTTAGTAAATGTACAAACCATCTTTCAAACTGCAAAATCTAACATTTAGCATATGTTTTCTTCAACAACACCACTATCACAGTTTTATTATGGCTTATGTAATTATGAGAACATAGAAGCAGTCATGAAGTTTAGTATATAATGATATAGTTTAACAATTAAATAAAGATTTATGTAACGCTATGGGTGAGAAATTGTTCTGAAGTAAACACTTAAAATCTGTAGTACCTAGACCCAAATGTATTTATTTACTTACTTAAAATATTATTTAATTATCATAGAAGCAGTCATGAAGTTTAGTATATAATGATATAGTTTAACAATTAAATAAAGATTTATGTAACGCTATGGGTGAGAAATTGTTCTGAAGTAAACACTTAAAATCTAATCTGTGCAAGGCATTCATAGAAAAAAAACTTATGGGGAAATATGTGCTGGATAAAGATCTGAGCTGAAGATA